CCACGCGGCCCCGAACCAGGTCGGCTGTCCCGATCCTCTCCCCCACGGCTGCCTGCGCCTCCGCGCTGTGGCTCCGGCGTCCCGTGGCAACGCACAGTCCCGTGGCAACGCGCAGCTCCGTGATTGCCCCAGGTTGACTCTTTGTGCAGGCCTATGGGTGCTTCCGTCACCCTCGGGAGCCAGTTTCCTCCCAGCCACTCCCTGAAGGGTGCAGGTCAGGGTTAGAAGATGCCCTGGAGGAAAAAGGCCAGAGCCTCAGGCCTGAGTCATAGACAGTGGAAGCCTGCTCCCACACGCTGCACACTGCGGGGCACAGGGGACCCAGGGGAATCCGTGTGCTGGGTCGGACTCGGAGATGGGGAACTCCCTTGGTGTCCTTGCACAGCTGACCGCCTGTTTCCCCTTTCTTGAGCCTCTCGCCCAGCCTCCTACAGAGAGAAGGCATGAAGAGGGTAAAAGGAGCACAGGCTTGGGTAGGGTGAGGTTTGAAATCTGCTCTCCCCACCTGAACTTAACCAACAGCTTTACTGGTCCCGCAGACTCTCTGGGGAAGGGTGGGCTAGTAAAGTGCCTGTTTATACAGTGATTGTGGAAAGCAGGACCCAGGCCTCTGTATTCTCTAGAGGACAGGCCACAGTGTGAATATAGATAGATAAAAATGGAGGTTAAATAAGCCCCGGAGAAGTCTCGGAAGCTCGCTGGGTCTGTGGGTCTATGAGGAAGCCCTCCAGAGCCCTCTTTGAGGCTGGTGTGAGGGTGCACTAGGCTGACTGTGCGCCAGTTCTTTAGGAGAGATGTTTGACAGGCTATGCTGGAAAATGATTTCTGCCTCCCACCTCCCTCCAGCTCTCCAGCTTCGTCAAGTTCCTGTTGCTACCCTGCTCCTGACTCTTCTGTCCCCAGAGCCCCTGTGCACATTGAACATCCACTTCCCACCTGCCCTGATAAAGCAATGGTGCCGTGGATGGCCTTGCTCCCACCAGCTACACAGGCTGGAGCTACCCCAAAGCTCCTGGGGACCGCTTGAGTAGGCAGTTAGGGGAAAGAGATTCTGCAGGGCTGAGAATGTTGACAGGTGCTCACTGCAGTCTCAGGAGGAATTTGGAGGCCAGGAATAGTTTGGGTTAGTTGGTTCTTTAGTTCTCAGAGCTTCTCCTAGGAAAGGGGGAAATGGCTCACCACGGGTATTTATCGTTAGGAACTGGCAGAGGTCACCAACTTCTTGATGGAAATGAGGCTGCTCCTACTCCACCCACCGCATTCAAGAAGGGCTCCTCCAGTGTGTGGTGAGGTCAGAGGTCCCCCACAAGGCCAAGTTCCAGGTCAGCCCATGAGTCCCCACTTCCCACCCCCATTCTGATCACATCTCTCCTAAAGGTTCTGACAATAGAGAGGGCAAAGAATACAGAGAAGCCCAGGAAATGCCAGGCATAAAAACTGCCTGAGAGGTCTCCGACACCTAGCACAAACCTCCCGTGACCCCAGACCCACACACTCCACATTCATGACCATGACTCAGGGAAGAAAGACCCCTACGGCTGGGCCCTTTCTGCTGATATTGCTCTCCAAATATTTTCCTAATGGAGGTTTCTCGCAGATGCTCTGACGGTGGAGAGACTATGCCACTTATTCACAATCAGACAGTTCTGCACTGGGGCAGAGAAGAGGGAAAGTGCATGGCCTCTGACCTTGCTGGACAGCGATGATGTCCAGGAGACCCCAGACTAAGGCAGCTTGCAGGCCCACTCTTCAGGATACAGCCTAAGGGAGGAAAACGGAAAATGCCAAAAAAGACTATCTTGTTCCAAGGCTTCCCATTGGTGCACAGAACAAACCCATACCTGCTTCCGGGCATCTCCCCCTGTATCCTCCACACTCCAAGTCCTTCACTAGGGAGCAATCTTCCTCAGCTCTGCAAAGGAGGGCCTGAGCTCCATGTCAGAAAAGTTTGAAGCTCAGTAATTGTCGCAACACAGAGGACTGAGTGAAGCTGTAACTTGGTGGCTCATCTGCTGGTGGCTTTGTGTCAGAAAAGAGTCAGAGGAACAAAGAGGCAAGGAAACTGTGGACAGGCTGGGTTACCAGGGATTTGGGCTGCAAGGCCAGCGGATATCTCTCCCATATCCTGTAGAGTCCTAGCAGCCTCCAACTTTTTTCTTAGAGCAGTGCTTCTCAAAAATGTGCCTGAAAGTCTTCAACACCTATCAGAAAGGAGAGTTCCTACGGCAGTGGAGGAGGTAGTGTAAAACTGCCTACACCAAGTTGGAAAGAGCTTCAGAGTCTTAGGTTTTACCCTAAAAGTCTATATGACTTGTGCATTCCACTCCATGAGTGTGTCAGTGAGGGTTCCAAGTGATAAGCCACAGACATTGACTGTGGAGGACTCTGCAGAAAGGAAGGGTGTTAAGAAGGGAGTTGGGGGCTGGTTGGTTGAAAGGGCTGGAGAGCCAGATTGAGGTTGAGCCTCCAGGAACAGTTCCATAAACTGAGCCACAGAGCTGGCCTGGTGAGGGAACCTCCGCAGCCACCAAGGAGCACTAGATACTCCTTCCATGCCAGGAACTCAGTTTTATTGCAGTGGCTCCCACTGCCAGGACATATGCCAGCTCGGTGCTAGGAACTCAACCTTGCAACTACCACTCCCAGCCACTGCCAGAGAGAGAACTTCCCTTCCCTTCCCTCCTCTCCCCTCCCCTCCCCTCCGCTGCCACCCCATCCCCTTCCCTTCACTTCCCTTCCCCTCCCTGTTGCATCACCAGTTCCCAAGACAGAGGCAGACACAGGTGCATGCATTGGCCATAGCTGAACCACACGTTTACACTGTAGCTGCAAGGGAGGCTGGGAGAGCAGGCAACCATCACTTTCCATTCACATAGGGATAGGCAGTCTTTGCCCACCCCCAACCCCACATCAAGACTCTAAAAGTGGGGGATTCACATACAGAAATAGGCCAATGGATAGCAAATGTCTTTGAAAACAGTGCTTTCATATTTATGCAGTGGAGATGTGGGTGTGGGAAATGGGCATCTGTATTGCAAAAATTCTCCCTTGTTGATCTTGATAACCAATCCCACCACTCTTGAAAACTTCTGTTTTCACATTTTTCAAATGTTTTAAATTTTGAGCATTGCATTCATTCCCCCAAGTACATCTCATTCATAGGTAGCCTCCCTCAGATCCCAAGAGAGCCAAGTTCCAGCAGCCCTACTTTAACCCAGATAAGTCTGCAACTGGTCACCCACCTGCCCTGGGGCTCCCCCCACAGAGGACCTCACACCAGTACTTGTTGTCTCACAGGATTCCAAGGTGTTGGAAATGGACTCCGGAAATGGCAGAAATTAGAAGGAAACGAGCTGCATGGTAAATTCTCTTTTCTTTTTTATTTTCTTTTTAATCTCTAAAATTGAATACATTGAAAAATAACTGGAAGGACTGGGTTTCACTAATTTGAAGACTGGCCCTGGGCATCTAACCACTGAGCAGAAAGTGGCTACTCCCAGCCTCAGGTTCCCACTGTCCTGGCAGCTGTGGCTGAGGAACAGCGCCATCAACTTGAGCACCCACTTGTTTGCTGGCTGAGCTACTGGAAGGACTTGGCATCACTTGAGATGGTGAGGTTTGAGTGTGTTCCCAGGGGAGGCAGCGCTGTTCATGCCATGCGGCCTCTTGAAATTTTTTCTGCAGAAAGAGGACAGTGGTCTGCCTTGGGACACTATTACTTGAGGCCTGGGAAGACTTCAGTCAAGGGTTCTGTAACTCCCTGGGACCCAGAATACAATAAGAAGTCAGCTCTCAAAGCCTCTTCTCTCTGGTGCCAGGTTTCTGTCCCCCCTGTGGGCTCAGGATTTCTCTGGGAACAATATGGATGGGGTGACTATGATGGGCCTTATTCTGTGCCCTTCAAATATTTATTAGCTTAGCTTCCAGGGACAAACAGTGACAATTTGCTGTGGGCATGTGAGAATTCTAACAAGAATCAGACATCCCCTCCCACTGCCCCTGTAGAGGGCTTAGTCAGACCCTGCTATGTGAGCCGTGGGATCAGATGACTGGCTCATCAAATGCCATTCTGAAGGAACCCCCCTTCATGACCCTCCACAAATGGGAAAAAAGGACTGCAGTAGGATAAGATTAGCTGTGCTCTACGATCCTTCTGACAGTAACAAAAGGGAAGGATGAAGTTCCAAAAGGAAATTCATTTATTCATTCATTCCCTCAACAAATGTCTATATTGCTTACTTGGTGCCAGGCACAGTTCTAAATGTTGGGGATGAAACAGCAAATAACGCAGTCAAGAACCCCTGCCCTCATGGGGCTACATTACAATTATTGCAATCGTGATAACATTCACTGCAGTAGAGTCTCAACACTGGAGGTGAAGCACTTTCCTGTGTACCCTGCCCTGCTCAGGAGTAGGAGCCATCCTCAAGATATGCACCCCTGCTGGGGAGCTACCCCTCTGTGTCCTGGCCGATGGGCATGCACGGCTGCAATGGATTCCTTAACCTTGCTACTGGGGCCATCAGACAGTAGACATGCCAGCATTAGCTCTACTGAAGCAGACGCCAAAGCTAGCAAAACTGTGCTGGTGAGAATTATAGTAAGAATCAGACCTCCAAAGACGGCCATGCAGGGCCTACATGCTAGGCTGGTGTGTGTGGGGGTGAGAGAGCAAGCGAGCCTCCGGTGGGGCAGATACACAGCACCCTCATGTACCTCGGCTCTCTCTTACCTTGCCTGAGCTGTCTGACATTCATCGTAGGGCTTCTCAGAATGTTACTACGTCCGGAGAGGATTGAAGTATACCAAATTCATCCTATTTTTTTTTTTCCTTTTTGTCTTTTTTACTGACCGGTAACGGGATCACAACCCTCAGTGTCGCGCCCGTACCGGGGACCAGCAACGGGATCGCAACCCTCGGTGTTGCGCCCGCACCGCGCTCAGCCAGCGAGCCGGAACCGGTCTCCACATGGGATCCGAACCCTCGGCGGGAGCGCCGCCACACTCCCAAGCGGTGCACTCTCCAGTGCACCACTGGGCCGGCCCCCAAATTCATCCTATTTTTACCATCCTCCGAGTTTCTGATTTGGGGGAAGCTTAGTGGAAAAATACAACAAAACACAAAGTGGCACAGTGACGATTACAAGACTATCACTAGACTCTTGTAGGATGTGAAATGGGTCTTAGTATGGTGTGACAGCTAATAAAGAGGATGGTGAAACTAGCTCCTGCAGAACTACTTCGAGAACTGAGAGTTTCAGGTAAACGCAGGGCTGCAGAGAGGCTCTGCAGAGGGCCTGAACCCTCAAAAGATGATGGTTCCCCCGCTCCACCAATATATGTGTAATGTAAACTAATGTTTTATTTATTTTTAAGCGGCTTGTTTGCATGCATGCAGAAATTAAAATTATAGCTTCTTTCTGCATTTTCTGATGTCAAGATTCTGAGTGCAGGTATTGAAGCTGACCTTTTCTCATACCTGCCTTGCTGGTGCCCCAGGCACCCAGCCCGGGGAGCTGGATGGCTTTCATCTGAGAAGGAAGTAGCTGATGGCATGCGCTGGTGGAGTGTGCACAATGTGGCTGAACATGGGGCTGATCCAAAAGGGCACATTTCCCCCTCTTGCTGCCCTGAGCACTCCTTGTGCTGGGGCGTTGGCAGGGGTGGGGGGAGCCTGAAGCGCTCCAAACTTTTCGAAGCAGCAGGTGTTTGGGCCGAGCCACCGCCCCCCCACCCCACCCCAGTTTGCCCAGCAACGGGCTTCCCCTGCTTATGATTGGCTGCTTTCCTTGGTCCTGGCCAAAGTCTGCCTAGCAGCACAGGGACTGACACCCCATAGCTACAGAGAAACCAATTGTACAGCCCTGACTATAAATACCCTGCAGCAGCTATGCCAGCCAATCACCCACTTTGAGGATTCCCTTCCAGGATCCTGTTTCCTCCCTCGGCCAGCCAAGCAGAGATGCGGCCAGCTGTGCCTACAGAAGGTGGCCTCCCTGTCCTCGCCTGAGTCTGGCCTGGGGTTCCAGCCCAGCATGCTACACCACCCTGCAGTGGTACACACAGTGGACCTGGCCCTAGGCAGACTAATCATGGCCCTGGGGGGCTCAAGGGCCTGGCTGGGCTTGTTCATAGGAGAATGCTGGAGTGGGCAGGGCCCTCCAGTGTAAGACACTGCCCGGCACAGTTCCCCACCCCCCAGACTCAATTGGCTTCTGCTTAGGCCCAGGCATGGGAAGCACAAAGTGGACCATCTGGTTGGGTGCACAAGGATGGAAACTTCAGGCCAGTGCCCCGGAGGCATGCTTGTTCCCAGACCAAGGCACTGGTCCCAGTGGTCACTCCAGTGTCAGGCCCACTACAGGCCAGCAGGAGGCCAGAGGGAGAAGATGGCAGACCAGGGTGGTAGCAGAGGGGGAACATCCTGCTGGCCCATTGCTGGCTCCTCCCCAGTTCCTCCCCCTACCCCTCTGAGACAGAGGTTCAAGGGCAGCCTCAGTAAGACCAGGCCACAGTGACAACTGTAAAGGGGGGATGTGGGAAAGGTCATGTTTCCCATAGGAGGGGCAGGCAGGCCTAAGGGTTCCCCCTTCATGGCCTATGGCAGGAACTAGGCATCTCTCTACAGCAGCCAGACCCCACTAAGCTCTGAGGACAACTCTGTGTTTGGGGACAGAAATGTCCCTAGTGTATGGAGAGAACTTGCATGTGGTGGGTGCCCTGCAAAGGTTTCCAAAACTGAACCAAACTGCACATCCTCCCAACTCCTAAGCTGGAGTAAGGGGCAAGCTGTCCCCTCTTCTTCTCGGGGCAGCAGGAGGCTGAGCTGGGAGTCAGCAGATGTGGGGTTCAAGTCCCAGGTTGGAGCCTCCCAGCCTGCTCCACAGAACGGTGAGAGGATCCATGACACGTCCAAGTGCAGGGAACTGTGCCTCGTGACACCAAAGTTGGGGGTTATGGCTACATAGACCACAGGAGGCTTCACCAGCCTGCTCTAGAAGAAACCTAGCCTGTGCTGGCTCCTGCTGGGAGGCATGGGGTGGGAGGATGCACACAGGCTCCCAGGCATTTGTCTCCATGTTCAGGTGTGTGACCATGCTGGCTCACGAGTGTGCACGCCATGGAGGCGTTTAGGCCAAGCCTGTGCATGTGCTTGGTCCCTGCCAGCCTGCCTTCCTTACAGACGCACACAGCTCCCTGCTCTGCCTGGGAAAATTCCACCATGATCCCAGTGGTCACTGCAGACTTCTCTGTCTTCCTTAAATAGGAAACCTGGCGGAGAAGCAGCGCTCTCAGCAGCCTCAGGTCATCACTTCCTATGACAACCAAGGTAAGTGATTTGCCGCTAGCCACGACCTCTCCTGTGTCTGTGTGCCCAGATCTGCTGCCCCAGCCAGAGACAGCAGCGCTCTCAGCAGCCTCAGGTCATCACTTCCTATGACAACCAAGGTAAGTGATTTGCCACTAGCCATGACCTCTTCTGCGGCTGTGTGCCCAGATCAGCTGCCCCAGCCAGAGATGGCCTGGTGTGTGGATCTCGGCCCATGCAGAGCAGGGTCCTCTCTGCCCCGTGGATGTTGGAGCATCTTTCAGGAAGCACTGAGAGGCTGCACAGTCTGAGTCTGCCCCTCACCATGGGATCAAGAAATAAAGTCCTTTGCCCACAGAGCCCACTGCCGTCACTAACATCACCACCACTGTCATCACTATAGCTAACATTTACTGAGAGCTAACCATTTGCCAGGCATGCTGCCAAGCCATTTACACGTTTGTTCTCATGTAAACTCAGCTTCCCGGCAATCCTGTTTGATGGGTACTCCTACTATCCTCATTTTACAGATGAGTAAACTGAGGCATGGAAAGGCCGTCACGTGTCCAAGATCTCATAAAAAAAAATCAGAGCCGGGCAGTCTGACCTTCCAAACCCCAGCAAGGCCTCAGCTGTTA